GTTCCTTGCCTCACGACCACCATCCCGGTCGGCAGAGCGCCTCCCCCCCCCCCCCCCGCCGCCGTTCCTCCGACTGCTTCCGCCGTCGGCACCCGGGGACGAGCGTGGCGGCCGCGCCGGGGACCTGTCATCGCCATCATCCTGCGGAGGCGGCGGCGGCGGCGGCGGCGGTGTGCCACCATTCTCAACATTCATGTCCACATCATCATCGTCGTCGTCAGCCGGCGGCGGAGGCGGCGGAGGCGGCGGAGGAGGCGTGTCGCCGCCACTACTACCCGCGCCGGTAATTCCTGGTGTTGCTGGTGCTTCTGTCTCCGCGTGCGGGAGGAGCGCCTCCAGGCGTCCGCGCTGGCGGGAGCCCGGGCCGAGGTTCTGGATGTACTTCTCCAGCACCGCTCGAACGTGCCCGAGCCTCCAACCGTGCTGACATATTGTAGCAGACCATGAATGCATATACAGGAGGAGGAGGAGGAGAAGGAGGAGGAGGAGCGCGAAGATGACGACGGGAGGGAGGCAACGCGCGTGACCCGGAGCAAGGGAAGAGAGCAGTCGGTCAGCTACAGCAGAAGGGATAGCGACGGCGGCGGTGGTGGTTAGGGGACGGGCGGTTGCGAGACCGCCTGGATGAAAACATTTTTGTATTATTGGCATCCCACGCATTCTGGACGTCAGTCCTTACTACACGTAAATCAGCCCAAACCATTGGGAACACATAATTCCGTCGAGGCTTGGCACAACCTCTCCACCACTTCCAATGGGAAACGTCGCACACACACATACAGGCGACCGGACAAAAACGGGACGGCACACCAACTTAGCACGCACAGCATTACATCGCCGCAGAAGGGGCAAGTACGCACACACACACGAACACAGCGAGCGGTAATTGGCGTGGCATGCTACATTGACGCATCGCACACAACGGCGGCGGGGGCATGTACAAAACACCAAAGGAGGACCCCACCTGGTGCAGCTTTTCGTTTACCCTCCGGGCGACCGCAGAGCTGTGCGCGGCGATGACCACCATGACGACGGCCAGGCGTTGCTGGGTGTAGGCCCCCGCCTCCAGCCTGCGAGACTCGAGCGTTTCGGCGTCGTCGTCGCTGTCTCCTTCCTCCTCGTCCCTAGCGGCCCTCTGCTGCTCGTTCGCCTCGAACTGCTCTACCCTGCGCGTGATTTTTTTCATTTCGTGTGTACGACGTTTCGCGACGGGGAGGGATGTAGTCTTTTGTTGCCGTCGGCGATGAGAGTGCCCTTGACAAAGGTCAAGTGCCATTGCTGTATTTTAGTCGTACGAAAAAAACACAAGAGTGTTCTGAGCTGACGTGGCCAATCCTTCACTAACACAATGTATCTCGTCGTGTTTCCAAAGGCAAGCTAGCATACAAGAGCGACAGCAGGCAGACGCACACGAAACAGCAACTACTGCTGCCGGGTCAGAAAAACTCTGATCGTAGATACTATCTGAAGCCGAAAACACAGCAACACTAACAACAACAATAGCAGCAACGACACCTGCGGCCGGCAACATTATACTCTGCGGTTCAGCTGTCACCAGATACCGCCACACTGGCGGCTTTTTATCACTCCCACCGACCTACCTGTCTGAGTACTCCATGTAGAGGTCCATCACCCGATCGACTTTCTCCATGCCGGCCTCCATGAATTTGGAGATGAAACGGGTCAGGCACTCGTGGTCCGGGCGATCCTCCAGGTGGACGGCGAAGCTGTTTTCATGTTTACGAGTTGCAACGACACCGATTGTTCAAGGGGAAATTTCAATTAAAAAGGCGGGAAATCTTCCAAAGCACCAAACAAATCCGTTGAAATATCGAATAATTTAAAAACTCGAGTGATCCCACCGGAGACGGCCCATGAGAGCACAGCAGCGTCATCAAGGGGCGTTGAAAGATGAAAGATAAAAGCAGGCAGCTGGGCCAGCCCACAGTTGGCCGCCAGATGCCCGTTAGTTGCGACGTTTCCAATCTCAACAGCTCGCACAAAAGCTGGAGTTTTTGGATCGAAGAGCCCAGCGAATCTCAAATCTGTATACAGCAACCTTCAATATATCCAGTGCAATATTTTGTCGGCAAACAAGTATCCCCATGGATTACCGTCCCATCGCAGAATATCTGCTGCTAACGAAGGATCACATCAAAAAGCATAACCAATTCCACCACGGTTTCAATTGGGATCAAGGACCACATCACCTCGTTACAATGGAAATTGCGTGTTCTTCCAGAGCGTTCCTCTCTCCTTTCGCCTTTCGCTTCTGCAAAAACAATATTAAAAACAAAACAATCACAGAGAAATGACGGAACATCACCGGAGCGTCTCTCCCTCATTGTTTCTCCAAAATGTGGGAGGATGTCACGCACATTAGATGGCACAGCAGGCGGTGTCCCGAAATAGTAGAAAGGGGCTCTGGCCATATGGGGGTATCACGCCAGGTGTTCATGAAGTAGACATACGCCATATGGCACGGTAGAGCTGTCTATGTGCACGAGACACACACTTTTCAAGACTGGCTGTGTCACATGTATACCGTGGTTTGCATGACGTAAGATATCACACCCCCTGGGCCGGTTTCCAGAGCTCGATTTCTCGGCAGGAAAAACAGTGACGGCGCCGAGAATGGCGGGAGGCGTTGGGACCGTCGTCTCGTCGAAACCTTTCCGAAAACGCATCATTTGAACTGGTCATGCACTTCGTCGTGGAGTAATCGAGCTTTGAAAATCGCTCCAGGGGGTGTGGTATCTTACGTCATGCACACCACGGCATGTACTGTACTTGCAAGGAAAAATGAAGAACCACCGCGAGGAATAAAAATTGACGTTGTGGTCGTGCTTCGCACAACAACGTATGTTATGTACATCTCGATTGTACTTTCTTCTTCCTGCCCTCCCCTGAGAGTCAAGTCAAGTATTTTCTCCGACGGGTAAGCATTCACGAACATCTAAGCGATGAGGAAGGTTAAGGTTCGCGCCTCCTTGCTCGAGGCGGCGCGTCCTTACCCCATCAATGACACGGGTAGTGTAGTATTTATGTGACAAATGTCTTCCACAGTGCATTGCCTGCACAGTCGACGTGGCCGAGTGGTTAAGGTGACGGCCTGCTAAGCCGTTGGGCTGTGCCCGCGAGAGTTCGAATCTCTTCGTCGACGTTTCCGCGATGGAATATTTTTTTTCCTATTCATCTGAGCCCGACATTTCCCTCTCGCCTGGGCGGGTCGATTGGTCGAGGCACTGTGTCGCCCCTTCCTTTGGCCGTCAACCTGCCTCCATGTAGTGGGAGGCTACCCCCCCAGGCTGGTGGTGCGGCCGTTCCACTAGTCTAATTATTTATTTTATTTTATTTTATTTGTTTCTGATTATATTTTGTTTTCTTGTATTTTATCGCTCTGCTGACCCTTGGGGTCCATTTTATTTTGGTATACCTTTTCTAGGTACGTTAGCCTGTGACCACGGAAATTGGCCGAGTCAAGTGATGGATTAGTACGGAGAGATTGAGACAGAAGGAGGTACTGGATAGAGAGACCGGGATGGTTTTTAATGTGAAGACAACAACAACAACAACAACAACTGTACGGTTGGCTCTTGTGGCATGGAGCTGAAAAACTGCTTAACAGGGCATGGGGAGTTAGTTGTGGGCTTCGGTCCTGTAGGGCACACACACCCTGTATATATAGGCTCTCGCCGAATGATTCCCCCGCCGACAAAAAAAAACACACACGTAATACGATCAGTCAGTCACCCACCTCGAAATCGCTGAGAAATTCATTAGGGGGGGGGAGGGGAAGGTTTCCGTGGTAGGAATTTACAATAAGTACGTACCTTCTGGCGCAGCTTGCGCGCGGCGCCCCTACCCATGAAAACGGGCAGCACCGCCTTCAGCCCGCCCACCTCCACCAGCCTGCCGTTTCGACACCCCGCACGGACACAATACCGTAAAACGACGCATACACAACACGGACGTGGCAGACCAGATCCCGCGTGTCAGAGCAGCAGAGGGGGGTTTTGTTCAGGCACGAGTCGTCACTGACACGAGGATCATCATAGAAGCGGCGGAATTTGTTGTAGAGAAGGAACTAGAAACGGGTATACCCGGGTGGATTATCACCATTGCACGGTATACTTGGAAATCAACACGACACCAATCTCCCACAGCATCCGCCTTAGATCGCGGCGAAACCAATAAACCGCTGTCTGTGTCCTGTGCCTCGGAAGCACGATGCACGAGGCAGGTCGTGCCCGTTTTTCTCTCTCTCTGTGTGCTTTTACTGATCAGCACCACATCGAGCGAACTCGCGCGTCAAGTGAGTCCGACCCTCTGTCGAGAGGGGCCGTATCCTATGGAGGCGATGCCCATCAACGAGCGAGCGTTGTTGGTGGTTTGGTTGTGGGTATGTACGTGCGGTGCACGGTATGTGCGGTACACGTTTTTTTCTGCGGGTTTCGTGCTAGAGCGTCGGACGCCGGGATTATGTGACCATTTCTGGGTTCAAAATCGACCTCTTCCGGGCACACCAGTAGCCAAAATCGGTCACACCCCAGGGTCCTAATGCCAGCGGTATAGTACCCAATGGAGGTTTCGTCCGAAACGGGTACGATCGTTTTTCGGCCAATCAGCTGACAGCCTGGGGGTGCAAGCGTGTTGATTTCTAAGTGTACCCTAAAGTGGTGACAAAGTACCGGGGTATACCCGTTTCTGGTTATTGATCTTTTTTGTATCGTATCGAGAAGCACATGATAGGTTCCATGGGGTGTGGGATTTGGGAGGCAGGCAGCAGCATCACCAGCCGTGGAAGAGCTGACACCGCTGTCGCCCCTTTTCGAAACGGTTCTTCCCACTCTGAAACCTAGCCGGCTGGTTCCGTGCCTTTTGGTTGCAGGGACTGATGATGGTGCCTTGTCATTAAACAAACCACACTCAAAGGGTGCCAACCACCCACCGGCCGCGGAAAACAGCGACCATCAGCGAGCGGTGAAAGGGGAAACGACAAGGTTCGACTTCGTGTCTAACAAAGATAAAATTGGCACTCAAATGACGAATACGGGGTGCACAGTGACAAGGCGACGGAGTTCGGCAAGAAAAAAACATGCGGGCACACACACGTCAGACTACACGCGGTGCGTACGAAAAAATATTTTCTCCCCTGCCCGAACCACTCACCCAAGGATACCAGCCTGAGCTAAATCACGCGTATCCCTCTGATAACAGTCTTCGCATAGCTCTTTGATACAGTCTCGGCCCTTTGATAACAGTTTTGGACATATTTTGGCTCTTTCATAACAGTCTTGACTCTTTAACATGGTAGAGAAAGGGGCAAGAAGACAAACAGTATCCTCGTGTTTCGCGGGCAGCGCACCTCTCGCAGTTGCTGCTGTCGTCCGTGAGGGCAAAGTCTAGCACCTTCACCGCACACCACGCCGCGTGCTTCTTCTCTCGCAAGCACCGAAGCATGAGCTCGAAACCCTCGCCTGGGATTACACGCAAAAACGTACCGAATTTGACGTTAGATATCACCCCCCAGGATCAGTTTCCAAATTTAATCTCCACGTTGCAGAGGATGTAACGTCATGACATACTGTCGGATAAGCTCTCCTCGACGAGACGGTCTTAACGCCGCCATTTTTCGGTACCCCCCTTCTTTCTGCTGTGGAGCAATGGAGCTGTGAAAATTAGTCCCAAGGGGCTGTGACATCTTTCGTCAACTATGCACACGGTATGTACAACGTACAACCACAACAACGGCATGAGCTTGTCGTGAACGAGGACTTCGTTGATATTGACATCTTTGGATTCTCGCACAAGAACCTTCCAAATACCTGCTAGGTTCGGTGTAACGTGTATTTGAGTGCGTCGTAATATTCTAAAGATTGCTATTAACACCACTTTGATAGCACTCTACGGACGGTACCGTGGGCGGAAAACCTCTGTTACCTGCGGTGTAGGCGATGAGTGTCCATGCAATCGGCTACAGAGAGCTGTAAAGCAAGCACTCATAAGCGCCGTTTTGCGAGACATCACCCATCGACCACGGTCACCCCACGACTATCGCCGACGACGAAACCACAATCACCCGCAACACCCAAAACACCGCACGTCCGTCACCAGTATCGCATCGACAAGCAGAGCGACTGCCGGCTCAAGAACACACGCTTCCAGCGAGACCTTTGTCGCCATCATCGGCGACTCACACACGCGCTAGTGAAAAAAAAAAAAATAACCCCCACAACAAGCCAAAAGCCGGTGTTTGCCATCGGGGTTGGGTTTTCGTCGCTTGGCAACGACGTTGTAAAACAAGC